AAAAAATAGGCTAAAAATAATTACTCCACTAAAGTATAAATAACCAAAATTTCTACTTAAGTAACAAAGTATTTGTACTTAGTTACTTGACTCCTCTGTGAACCACCCAATGCCTTTTGATAACATTTTCTGAAATGAATCATTAAGRGTATACCTACAGTGATTAGTTTTTGTCTATTGCAGTTAAGCTGACCACCACAGCTAATTGACCTTAGCTAACACATAAATGGCTCTAACCCAGTTCTAATGGCAATGGCTGACTTTCACTCACATATTTTAAGACTGATGTCTTCCTTTATGTTTTTTGAAAGTTTAACAAGCAACTGAAAACCTTTCTCAGCACCTTTCTCAAATGAATTTAGCTTAAAACGCCAACATGAAAGTGGGGCTGGCGATATGCATTAATTCAAGAACTATACTAGGTCTTTATTGGGGGTCATATTGTTTTTGTACCGCTTATTTATTTTAAATCTTTTCAAGATATTTGGTCAACTGTATCATGGAAACAGGTGCACCAATCAACAGGAATGTAGATGTGTACGACACTGCGCCACCCAACAGTTTTACGTTAAGCACCATATTTGAGGAGGGGGCTCCATCAGAATAAGGGGTGTCTGGACTAACAAAAATGCCTGTAACTCAATTCAGCATAGGAGCTTTAGATTTTTTTATGTTAATTAGCTCTGATGAAGGGCTGTCCATCGGGCCCACTAATTAGCGACCCCCATCCAAAGTGAAAAAAATGTGTAAAAGTYTCAAAATTTGATAAAATTTAACAGATTAATGCCAATTCCATGCATTTGAAAATGAGCAGCAGTCTGAAAGCAGTGATGCATTGATACGATGCAGATAAAAAAACAGCACCCTTTTTGGACTAAACAAAACCCAGCATGTGTTTAATTCAGGCTGCAGTGTGGTGTGATGTCAACAGGACATCTATTGTTTTGTGTTTCTTTTTTCTCGGGCAGCACTGAGTGACTCACATTTTCCAAACGAATCAGCTAAAACACGTTCTCAAATGTTTCTCCAAAGCCAAATTGGATATTTCCTGGAAACAGAGACCTCTAAATTTATCTGAACAACAGTAGCAGCCTGTTGCTTGACTCCTGCAGAGARCCTGTGTGAATGCCACAATATGAGTGTGCTCTACCTACAATGAAATATCCCAGTAATTATTCACTTGGCAGCAGCTTTAGTGCTGCAGAGTGAATAGACCCTCATTAACCTCCTCTGGACTGCARAAAAGTGCAAATGTAAGAGTGCTGTCATGGCCCTGAACTATATCAATTACAAAAGAATGGCTTCTGAAAAATGTATTAGTGCTCGTCATTTTCCTATTTGGATGCTGGTCAACTATGTGGCTCACACATTTGAATAGCAATCTGAAGCAGATCATTGCTTGATTAAAATGTTTACACTCAGAAGCAGCTAAACGTGTAAAGGAAGGCAGAGGCTATGAGAGGAAGATGACAGGACATGGTCTCATGCCCTCCACGAGGCAAATGGTGCCAAAGTTTCTGTGGAGGGAGAGATTTGTAAAACACAAACATTACAACAATGGTTGGAGCATAATCTGTCCAATCTCATTACAGGCTGGAACCATCCTCAGAGAGAGATGCACGCGCTGAGATAAGAGAAGAATCTGTTCCTGTGTTTGAGAAGGAAGAAAAAAAAAGAGGTGTGTGGGAGAGAAAAGATGGCAGAAGGCAGACATGAAGATCAGGCTAACAGAGACATGAGTGATTTTTGTTTTTGTYAGATGCAGAAAAGCAGTTGTCAGCAACTGAAAATACTTTACTTTATACATTAGGTTGGAAAAAAATCTAACAAATAATGATTCATTTCTTCGAATTTTTAAAAATTCATTTGGTGATAAGACCTTTTACTAATGGTACAGACATTTCTACATCTTTCCTTTGATGGTGGGCAATAACAAAGAGCTAATTTAAGCAATTATCACATTTTCTATTAGTTCATTTAAAATGCATGCTGGGATTAAGTATCTATCTGTCCTTCTGACACTTGACAGAGAACAGGATTTTAAAGTGACACAAGTTAAAACATATAGTGTTTACACAGACATGGACAAAGAAAAATTGCAGGAATGTGCATAACTGTGACAGATCTGGGTGGTATATATA